CGTGTGTAATGTTGCATCTTGTCTAACAAAGCCACGTAGCACCAAATTAAAGACTCTGGGAGGGGTAGTCCGCTGCGTATCTGCCATAGTCAATCTTAAAAAAATCACTTTATATCTCATCAGTCATTACTTTGAACCAATTATTCAACGTGATTAATGTTATTAGGTTCGAAAGATTAAATGTTATTAATGTTATTGGGTTCGAAAGATTAAGCACGTCAAATTGTATTTTTGTATTTAGTAATTCATATTCAAATTTTAATATTTAAGTTTAATTAAAAAATTTTAATTTTTATTAATTATTTAAAAAATAGTGTTAAAAAATAATTTTTTGTATTATTTTTTTATATAATTTTTATATATTATTAAATAAATAAATATATTTAATATTATAAATCTCACATAAATAAAAAAATTATTTATTTAAATAATATATTAAATTATATTAAAAAAAAAAAAAAAAATTACCCCAAAATTGTTTCTCCTAACTAAATTCTTCTTCCCCCGTATTTCTCCGATGTTCAAAAATCATCATCTTCCGGCATCGGCAGCTAACACGTGATCCCACCGCTTGTAGGCCTTGACAACTTGTACCTGCATCAAATTGCCACGTAGCGAGAGTATACAGCATCGCTGGGGCATGAGCGCAACATGGGGAATCTTTAATACTTACTCCTTGGAATAGTTTGGTAACTTGTCTTAGCAGAAAATAAGGGACACGTATTGTGAAAAAACAAGAGACACGTGGAGCTGCTGCGAAAAGCAAGTGAGTACGACTCATCAATCGAAATCAATGGGTGTGATTATCATCCAAAGTAACTAACTCCACTCCAGATAAACTCGCCCTTTTTAAGTTTTAACTATTTTTACATAAATTAAAATTTATTTATGCATAAATTTTATATATTATATTTATTTAAAATTTTTAATTATTAATATTTTATTATTAATAATTTTTTTTTATTTATTAAAATAATTATATTTTTATTCAAAAATTATAATAAATTTTAATTATTAAAATAAAAAAATAATTAAAATTTTATATAAATATAATATATAAAATTTATATATAAATAAAAAAAATAAAAATCAAGATGTACTGATATTAAGACATATATTACAATCATCAAATAAATAAACCCCTGGTTAAGACTTACGAAACTAACAATTATAATAAACATTCTAAACATGAAACTAACAATTATAATAAACATTCTAAACATCAAAATATCTTAATTTTTCAGTACCCCATAAATAAATACCTTCACAAAAAAAAGTACGACTTTTATTT